TCTCATATGGAGTCTTCGTAAAGCTTCGGTCTAAATAAAACCTAACATCCTGAGGATATAACGAGCAATTTGGAAAAATAAATTTGTGGCTTTCTTTTACGGTTGCGGAGGAGATCTCATAACAAGAAAAACAGTGTTTGGGGAGATAACTCTAACAAAGAAAAGTGTTCGGTTAAACAGGGTCAGTTTCAAAAGCGTATAGATTGTATGATATCATATACCAAAAAACTAAGCGACATCTTTTGAAACAAAAATACACCGCAAGAAAAAAATTAGGCGGAAGAAAAAAAAAATAATCAGAAGAAAACCAATAGGTCTTTCCACGGAAAGGTGGAAAGACCTAATAAGGAAAGTACATAATATAATGAAGTAACTACATATAACATAATAAAGAAACCACGTACTATAATAAGGAAAGTACATATTATAATGAAGTAACTACATATAACATAATAAAGAAACCACATACTATAATAAGGAAAGTACATATTATAATGAAGTAACTACATATAACATAATAAAGAAACCACATACTATAATAAGGAAAGTACATATTATAATGAAGTTACTACAAATAACATAATAAATTTAAGAAACCATAACAGTGATATTGAACTACACTGCTATAGAACAGAATATTTTATTACCTTAAGCTTAAATTTTCAGCTCATCGGTTTATTCACGATACAGTAGTTATATTTGCAATAAAACATGTACACTGTAGACAGAGAATGACAAATGTTCTGTGGAATGGCTCACAGTTTTAGTAAAACAAACATCAATTCCAAATATCGTATTAATTTAAGTTATAATATTTCAACAATTAATGTGAAAAACAATATCAGACCCGGCAAAGTCCAGTACAAATGTTTTTTAACTACGGATTTCAGTATACATAAATTCGACGTCCGAAACACATTTCGGACCAAGTGGCATCCATCCACAAAAGCAGTGTAATAGGGTAATTACAGACCCGTTCTACCTGCTCTATCAAACAAAATAAAATAGCCATAGAAACTCTATTTTCTAAATACTTTGATATAACAGTTGTTTTCTATTCGTTTGATGTGTTTGAGCTTTTGATGTTGCCATTTAATACGAGGCTTTCCGTTTTGAATTTTCCTTGGAGTTCGGTATTTTTGTTATTTTTCTTTTTTATGATATTTTTACAATTTCCTTGCGACTTTCGATCAATCTATGGCTATCAGTCAAACATCATTAAATGTTAGAAGACTTGGAAAAGGTACTGAATAATAATACATATCAAGCAACAATACCTTAGGACCTTAGCAAAGAGTTTGACTTTCTACCACATGATCTTCTTTACCTTGAAAAAATATGGTCTAAGTACGTCTGCACTAGAATTGTTCAAAATCTATCTCACTAAAATGAAACAGTGTTAAAACTTAAGACAATGCATTAGTCAAATGCTTGATATATACATGTATAAAGATGTTCCTCTGGCCCTGTATTATTTAATGTCTTAATTAATGACATCTTCCCTTTCGTAAGTTATTGTAAATTATATAACCATGCCGATGATAACACCCTCTCTAAATTTGACACTTTCTTGGAATCAGTTATTAAACCATTAGAGGAAGATTGTAACTCACTATTATTATGGTTCTCGTCCAACAAAATGCAGGCAAACCAGAAAAATTCCAGGTAATTGCAATATGAATAAAAAACACACACACACACACACACAATACGATTTCAATCTTAGCGGAATCAATATAAAGTGTGATGATGAGGTGAAAGTTCTTGGTGAAACCAAAGAAAGATTTTTTAACAGATATCAATACAAACATCTCAAACATTTGTAACAAGCTGTACGACATCTAAAGTTTCACAAAGAATTGGCACTCATCTAACAGACTATATAAACTTATTGTCAAACATGTATCCTGTCAAACCTCAGCTACCGTCCACTTACATGGCACGTTTGCAGTGAACAAAACACACACAAAAATGCAAAAAATACGAGCACTCGGATTTATTAACGACGACTGCAAAAGCTCTATATCAACTTCTTACTTGAAAAATCTAAACTGAAGCACTTAAAATCAGAAGGATGAGAATCATTGCATTATAGTTAACAAATCGAATTCAGATTTTTTTGCATAATTTGATAACCATTAGTAGAAAATGAATATAATTCAGGTACAAAGACATAGCTGATATACCACGACCGAAAACAACAAGGTATTATGATGAGAAAGTCTTATGTTATGAGGCAGCAAGAATGTGGAAATCCTTACCAAATAAGACAAAGAGTGTATCAATTTTCGTCCAGTTAAATTTTTTTATCTCTACTTGGTGTTTTTTTATAAAAATTGTACCGGTAGTTTGTGAAAATAATGACATTCCTTACAGTCCCAGAGCTAACGATTAAAGCCTGCTGTTCGTTGAGATTTATTCAAATTTCGTTTTTTAGCCTTGTTTTATATAATAATTTGCTTTTCTTTTGTCATAACAAATAAGGTCTACTTCTGGCTGCTTATAAATGTTTAAAATGTGCTGCAGCTTCTTTCATTCAAACGACTGTGCCTGTAGTAGTGCTTTAATGTGTTGTACGTATATTGATATCTTCTGCTTTAACTGTTTGTACGTGTTATATATGTATATGCTGCTAGTTTGTTTTTATATTGCACGTGCTTTGTCCGTACTGATATCTTCCTCTTTTAATAGCTTTAGTTGTGTGTGTTTTATAGGCTAATGTTGCTAAGCTTTTTATATTGGATGTGCTTTGTACGTATTGATATAAACATGTGCTGTTTTGTACATATTGATATAAATATGTGCTGTTTTGTACATATTGATATAAACATGTGCTGCTTTGTACGTATTGACATAAACATGTGCTGTTTTGTACATATTGATATAAACATGTGCTGCTTTGTACATATTGATATAAACATGTGCTGCTTTGTACGTATTGATATAAACATGTGCTGCTTTGTACGTATTGATATAAACATGTGCTGCTTTGTACGTATTGATATAAACATATGCTGCTTTGTATTGTTTGTTTGTGTTGTCTTATATGATTGATTTGTTGTGTTAGAGCTCTCAATACCCAAATGACATTTGTCCACGTCTTCTGTATAGATATGAAACCCTGACTTTAAATGAGGATGACTTACTTACTTATATATATATACTCACCTCCCTCACCTGACTGACTGACTGACTGACTGACTGACTGACTGACTGACTGACTGACTGACTGACTGACTGACTGACTGACTGACTTACTGACTGACTTACTGACTTACTTACTTACTTACTTACTTACTTACTTACTTACTTACTTACCTGACTATAACCTATATTTAGATTTTTTTTAAAGTAAAAACGTGCAATTAGCACATAAACAAAGAGTTAAAACCTTTCCAGACTAAAAAAAAACGGAAATGAAAGAAAACGGAAAAAATATTTGAACGGTGAACTAAATGAAAATATCTGAATAGAAAAGTTATTATAATTTGACACTGTCAAACTGTTTTGATTATTTATTTTTCTTTCTTATAAGCGAAAGGTATTTCCCTATCATCTTGCTAAAATTTTGTGAGCCTCAGGGAATTCGATGTTTGCTATACCACGGTTCATTTCACCGCTCTTTATGACAATACCATTATACCAATTAGAATGATTTTTTTTTGCAGTGTTTTAAGAAATGATTTTACTTTGTATCCATGTATAATTTATGAAACTTTAAATGCTTTAAAAGGGTGAATTTCTGTATAAAGTCAATAATTATGTAGACTTTTGAAGCCCAAACTTTCTATTGCCTTAAATATGAAACTGAAAGATCCGAAAACTTTACCAATACAGAACGATATGTTTTTGAAATTATAGCAAAACTTTAGGTTGACAAATTTTTATTCGTTATTTCAAAAACTGAACTTAAAATATCTGTCATTTTCTCCCTACCCAGTTTACCCCTCTTACTTATTATGATGTGGACCGGTCATTGTTATTGAATCTTACGCATTTTGATTGGATTAAGTTATTTAAGTTTACCTTCAAACTGTTTATTTTTTTCATAAAAGTTAATTGATTAAATCAGGACGTGCATGAAAGTAACGGTGTAGTCGGTGCCATATTTATTTATTCATTTTTTTAATTCATTAAGCTGAAAATGTACTACAAAATGTATTTGAAAAAATTGTTTTCTTAAAAATGAATTTCTTTTTACATGTACACACACGTGTACAGTAACTTAAATGACTTTCAAACCGGACACTGCACGGGTCCATATTATTTTTTTATCAATGAAATTAAAGGTATGAAAGGTAAGAATGGCCACTTCTTATAATTTTACGAAATTTTCCACATATAGAGTAGCTAAATTATTTTTTAATAACCTATTCCCGAGTAATAAGAGAAAAATTTACAAATGTGACGTTTTATTCCGTTAAACATGTCATTTTTCGAAGAGAAATTCAAATGCCGAAATACATTTTTAAATTACGCACGGCTACGCGTTTGCTTATCTTAACAAAAAAAAAACTTTTTCAGTCTCATTATAATGTTATAATTACAATTAATCCCAAACAAAAATAGTCATTAAATTAAGTCAAAATATGTCCGATCTACCTATTTTTGGACATCAAAATTTAACACGATCTCTTTAAGGTCAATTTCGTCTACCTCGCAAAATCTTGTAAGGCTGACAACAGATTAGCTACATGTGTTTGGCAATCATTTCTATAAATAGTTCAGGTTATTCCAAAAACTATGATGAAAGGGCGTATTTGATTTAAACGAGAGCAATAGCAGAATATCTTATCATTTACTAAAATGATATATCCCATTCATATAATCTTTTTTATTCTTTGTTTATAGAATTAAAGTATTCAGTGTAAGAAAAGACATATAAACGTCCCTGCTATCAGCTAATTCTTTATAATGCGAAGCGTTTATTTTAACTGTCAATACAGTTATTACACCTCTTTAATCGAAACAAGTTTAGCCGTAATTTATTATTTCACAACAAACACAGGGGGAGTAACTGACATTGATCTTTTTGTATAAATGTAAAGACAAGAAATTTGCCACAAGGAACAACATTTCTTAAAACAGAGAAGAAGAATATACATAAGTCCATAAAGGTATTTAGTTTTACATTCATTGAGTAACATTTTGCACTAAAACACGTTAATCAAATTTCCTTTAATTGATTTGGAAGCCTTAATTTGTGATCATATATGATCATAACCATTGGTTTTATATGTTAAAGTGCTGAGTAAGCTTAATTAATTGTAGGAAATCATTTGGCTAAAAGATTTGACTTTTCATTTTCTACCAACTTGTTTTAATAAGATATGGATATTTTTTTATAAACTATTATATATGAAGTACTTGTTATGTTTGTATACAATGTATTTGGATTGTTTTAAGGACTAATAAAGTAATGTCTCAATTTGTTACAAAGAAACTGTGAAACACCGTTGGACACAAATGTCTTTATGCTAAAAGAATCTATCATGGACTCTTTGTGTTGTATAACGGTCTGGTTCTAATTAATTTGATTACTGAAGGTAAACACAACTTGCATAGAAAATCAAATCTATGGTGTTTTTGTCAACAGAGTAGCGTGTGACTTGGGGATTATGTGTCTTGAATTTTACCTGTAAATACTGGAAATGACATTCAATAGAAGGATGCACAGACATTTCTTATGTGTCTGTAACCAGGTCTCTTCGAAAGCAGGGACTATATATTATATATCTGTGTAAACATATACAGTTTTCCAGTGTTAGCTTTGTCCTCTTTGAATCGCCAAACAGAACGGTAAATCGTTTAATTAACATATACTAAATAAAAATAAATGTTTATCGGAAAGACAGCCAGGTGAACCGTACAATCTACAATTCACGCTAACCCCCTATTAAGCATGTATACCAATGGTTGACTCAGTGGGGTCTAGAAATATGGTAACCTATACTTCACCCATTCGGTAGTAAAACCTATGATAAAAAAGGAGCATCGGTTTGCCTATGTGAAATAAATAAGTAAGCAGTTATCTCCGGTTGAAAAAGGGAAGTTATAGCCGATTCTCTGCTTGTGCAAGACAAAATTCCCAACCATATCCAATAATATACCGTCTTTTCCAGTAAATTCCACAAACATGAGAAAAATGATATATCTGTTCTAGTAAATGATAACTAATGTTATATCATATATTCTTAAATGAAAGAATAAGCAACAAATCTGATTAAAAATACAATTATCTTACATCGTGTTAACGTGTCTCGTATAATTGGAACTGATTTCATTTACTCAACAGAAATGAAGAAACGAGATCAGCTTATAATACCATCGCAGAGAAAAATATTTGAATGCTACAAGAGAACAGGACGACAGGAAAATATATTGCTCATTGGTACGATAGGTGCTGGTAAATCTGCTACAATCAATACAATTACAGCAACCTTGTCGGGTGAAAAATCGTACAAAGCTCCCACTGGGAGCAAGGGTACACATATGCATAAAGATGGACGGAGAAGAACAACGACACATTTGATTTGGTAAGGAAATATGAATGATTTTTAGTCGGATCTGTTGACGTTGTTCCAGTTCAACTGTTCCCTTCAATAAAAACAAATTTGAATGCCTATTCTGCTGGTTTACCTCTGATTTTCAAAATAAATATGCAGAGGTATTATCGTTTTAAATATGAATAAAAGGATACGTGGGGTAAACGTCAGTAAGACAGTTACCCAACGATAGAAATAACCAAAAGTCATTAAGAGGGCAACGCACAGTCTTCAACAATATTCAGGTGTTTGTACAATATGTAGAGCTCTACTATCAATATATAAACCTACTTTGATGATATAAATGTCATCCATGTATTAATCGTTTTCAAAATAAGAACGTTTCTATTCTCTTGCAAGAAGTCTTTTCTTCTTACTTCTGCAAATTCAGTTAGAAGAAAGAAGATGGCAAATGCCGCTCATGTAGCCGATAGTAACATTGATCATCATGATGCAATCTTTCAGTCAATTTAGGAGTTACATTTGATCATTATTCAATCCTTCGTGCGATTCAATGGGCAAAGAACACCATGTCCTATTAGATTATTGTCTGTTGTGAAAGGCAATGGTTTCGTATACCTAACAAATACATAGACCTTCTTCTTCAATGATATGTCTCTGTTTGGAGATACAAAAGAGGCGGTTCTTCTTTATTATAACTATCCCGAACAACGAACGCAATGTCCAATATTTTCAGAACTTGTAGACACTGTTATCTCAAATATTTCGGAAGAGCTTGAACCCTGCCCTGGACTAATACATATATATAGTGGTCACAGCCTCCCAGGTTTCAAGTACAAAGTAAGGCATTGTGATATTTTTATACGACCGTATATTGGTATCACGTCGTCGTCGGCGGCGTCAGCGTCGTCTGAAGACACATTTGGTTTCCGGACAATAACTTTAGTTTAGATCTCTATGAAATTTTACCGGAAGGTTCAATACTACAAAAGGAAGGTTGGGATTGATTTTGGGGGTTATGGTACCAACAGTTTCGGAATTAGGGTCCAAAAAGGGTCCAAAACAAGCATTTTTCTAGTTTCCGGACAATAACTTGTGTTAAAGTTTATGGAACTCTCTGAAATTGTACATTTTTACCTGAAAAGAAAATAATCTTCAAAATAATTGGGGGGGGGGGGGGGATACAAAAAGTTTGTGGGGGATTTTTGTTTAAATTTATTTTTGGAGGTTCATATTTTTTTTCTTCAAAATTTTTCAAAATTTCTTTATGGGGAGACACATTTTTTGGGGGGATTTTTTTTCATAATTTTTTTTTTTTTCCCCAAAATTTTCCATTTTTACATTGATTATTTCTGATTTATATATAAGAGCAAAAATTACTGATATGGCAGAAGATTCACACAAAACAGGGTGTGTAAATTATTATATATAACAGATTAACTAAGTATTGTGCAACAGCACAGTATTGCGCAATAGCAAGAAATCTTCAATTGAAAATACATACAAATCATACAACCAATTTCAATGGGATTCATTTAAAGTCTTTAATTTTTGGGGGTTCTAACCTTGTATTACTATTTTGGATATTGGGCCCCATTTTTAAATTGGTCTACATTGAGGTCCTAAGGGTCCAAAATTAAACTTTGTTTGATTTCATCAAAAACTGAATTATTGCGGCTCTATGATATTCTGAATCTTATTGTGCATTTAGATTTTTTATTTTAGGCCCTGTTTTCAAATCAGTCCATATTAAGGTTTGAAGGGTCCAAAATTAAACTTTGTTTGATTTCAACTAAAATTAAATTTTTGGTGTTTTTATACGTCCGTTTACGGGATGTATTATGGTATACCTTTGACCGTCTGTCTGTCCGTCCGTCTGTCCGTCCGTCCGTCCGTCCGTCGTCCACATGTCGGACATTAACTCAAAAAAGCTTTAACCAATATGCATGAAACTTTGGTGAATTGTTTATATCTATTGACGTGAGCTCCCTTTTGTTTTTTATAAACTTCAGATTTACCGTTTCCGAGTTTTGGGGTTTTATTCATTAAAAAAGGGGGGATTTTCCAGTTTTCCGACAATAACTCAAGAATGCTTTCACCAACTTGCAAGGAATTTTGGTGAATTGTTTATATCTATTGACAAGAGCTCCCTTTCGATTTTTATAAATCTTAGATTTTACGTTTCCGAGTTAAAGGGTTTTATTCATAAAAAAAGGGGAGGGGTTTCCAGTTTTCGGACAAAAACTAAAAAATGCTTTCAGCAGTTCTCATGAAACTTTGGTGAATTGTTTATATCTGTTGATGTAAGCTCCCTTTAGAATGTGTCCATTTTTGCCCCAACTGTTCAGGGTTGGACCTCTGCGGGCGTATCCAGCTCCGCACAGCGAAGCAGTTTATTTTTATATGCTGAATCTAACCATGTTGTTAAATTTTGGATATCAGACCATACTAGGTAAATTGAATGTCCCATTTAAAATTTTTATACGACCGCAAAATTTTTTTGGGTTCGTACAATGCTATGAAGTCGTCGCCGTCTGCGTCGTCGTCCGAAGACACATTTGGTTTCCCGTCAATAACTTTAGTTTAAGTGTATGGATTTCTATGAAATTTTACAAGAAGGTTCAGTACCACAAAAGGAAGGTTGGGATTGATTTTGGGGGTAATGGTACCAACAGTTTAGGAATTAGGGGCCAAAAACAAGCATTTTTGTAGTTTCCAGACAATAACTTGTGTGTAAGTGTATGGATCTCTCTGACATTGTACCACAAGGTTTCATATCACAAAGGGAAGGCTGGGATTGAGTTTGGGGGTAATTGCCCCAAAAATGCAGGAATCTGGGGCAAAAAAGGGGCCAGAAACAAGCATATTCTAGTTTCCAGACAATATCTTGTGTTTAAGTGTATGGATCTCTCTAAAATTGTACTACAAGGTTCCATACTACAAAGGGAAGGCTGGGATTGAGTTTGGTGGTCAAAAAGTTTAGGGTGGGGTTTTTTTTTTTCCAATTTTTTTAAGGGGTTCATATTTGTTTTTCAAATTTTTTCAAATTTCAATAGATTTTTAAGATCTTTGACCTCATTTATTTTGTGTCAGACACCTATACTATATCAAAAATTTGATTACAATCCATTTTCAGACAGTATCAAGCTTGAATATTGTTTCCAAATTTGCCCCAACTGTTCAGGGTTCGACCTCTGTGGTCGTATCAGGCTGCGCTCAGCGAAGCATTTTATTAAGATCTTTGACCACATTTATTTTGTGTCAGAAACCTATATTATATATTATGTAAAAAATTGGATCACAATCCAAATTCAGACAGTATCAAGCTTGAATATTGTGTCCAAACTTGCCCCAACTGTTCATGGTTCGACTTATGCTGTCGTATCAGGCTGCGCACGGCGAAGCATTTTATTGATAAATATTATGATATGATAAATAAATAAATAATCTTTATTTCAAGAGGATAATCCCATTAGTTAAAAATAATATTCCTGAGAGTCCTCAAAATAATAATAACATATTCATAAAGTACATACAATATTATAATGATACATAAACAGAAGAATTTTTGTAATGTATTGCCAGTCTTACAAATGATTCACACGATGTCTATTTGATTTCTAGACGTCTGTATCCAAGTATTGTATATTAACGTTTATCAATGTGCCATTATTAGGTACAACAAATGCGGTATCGACGGTGCAAAACAGAAAGATATGACTGTCCCAAAAGCTTTTCCTCATTTGGTTGATATGACTGGTTTAGCAGACACGTGCACCAAAGATCAACAGGAATTGTTAGAAATGATAATCACAGGAAGAATACCTGACCAAACTTCTATCCCGGCCTTACAGGACATTCAGAATGCGCAATGGTCATGGTGGCAAATGAAAAGAGATTTTCCATTTTCGATGAATAGTCGAAAAATTCATAAAATACTGTTTGTTGCCAGCGCTGATGAACCTATACCGAAACACTTGATTCAATCTGTGAAAAATGTGGCACAGCCTGATGGAAGTAGAAGAAACATGAACCCAAGATGTAAGTTGTATATTTTAAGTTAAGTCGTCGATTAACTTGAACATCTCATAAACAACAAATATAGACATGATAAAAACTACGCTTATGATAATTTTTAGTCCCCTACCGACGAAGTCGAAGGGGACTTTAGGTTTGCACTCCGTCCGTCTGTCCGTCCGTCTGTCCATCCGTCAGTCCGGCAAATCAGCTTTCCACACTTTTTTTCTTCGTTCTTGAAGATATTGATTTGATATTTGGTATATAGTTTTATCATGACAAGTTATAGATCAAGTTCGAATTTTGTTCCGGTCTGATGATTTAGTCCAGAGTTATCATGGTCCATATCTAATGTTAGAGTACTACATTTTGTATGTTAAACCATATTTCTGTACAAAGTGAGATAACTCATTTTTTTAAAGACATTCTTTGGTTAATTGTTTGAAGTGTTTTTTATTTTGTATAAACTAATTTTCTGAATGCTATATACATGTACATAAAAAAATATGAAGTGAAATCTTTTAATTAGATAATAATCTGTTTTTATTAAGGTATAATTATATTTCAATACATTACATTGTGTATAGATGAAAGTTGTTGACATTTTATAGATAAGTTACAAATCTATATTAGTTTGTGACAAATGAAAGAAGAAATATTTGGAACTATTAATTATATTTGATTATAACTTGAAAATAAATATACATTGTATTACATCATATATAATTTTAGAGAACTATTAATCACATCTAATGTTAGAGTGTTTTCCACACATTTTTTTCATCATGCTTGAAGATATTGATTGATAATTGGTATATAGTTTTATCATGACAAGTTACAGATCAAGTTCAAATTTTGGTTTCGGTTTGATAATTTTGTGCAGAGTTATGGTCCTTGGACTTGAAAAATTCACTCATATAATCAGTTTTCTACACTGTTTTTAGTCATGCTTGAAGATATTGACTTGATATTTTCTTTTTGTTTACACCATGACAAGTTATAGAACAAGTAAGCATTTTGTTCCAGTATAATGATTTTTTACCCGGTAGGGGACTATTTATTGCCATGCAATACTCTCAGAATGCTTGTTATTTCTGTGTTTCATTATAGTTATTTAATGAGATAATTGAGAAATTATTAAAAGTCTTAGGTTTTGAACTTCCTCAGGCAAAGTTGACCTTAAATGGATTTTTTATACGACCGCAAAAAAATTTTGTGGTCGTATATTGGTATCACGTCGTCGTCGTCGTCGTCCGAAGACATTTGGTTTCCGGACAATTACTTTAGTATTAGTAAATAGAAATCTATGAAATTTAAACATAAGGTTTATAACCACAAAAGGAAGGCTGGGATTGATTTTGGGGGTTATGGTCCCAACAGTTTAGGAATTAAGGGGGGGGGCCAAAAAGGGACCCAAATAAGCATTTTTCTAGTTTCATGACAATAACTTGAGGAACAGTGTATGGATCTCTCTGAAATTATACCACCAGTTTCCATACTACAAAGGGATGGTTAGGACTGGCATTGGGGGGGGGGGATTATGGCTCAAACCGTTTAGGAATTAGGGGCAAAAGAGTAAGAAAAAACATTAATGGACAATTACATAAGTACAAATTACAGTGTAAGGGAGGTCATTCAAACACAACTTTGAATTAAATCCCTTACCCTGCTTTTAAATTATGTATAAAGAATATTTGTATTGCCTTGAGGTGATTAGCTGTCAATTCATTTTTAGAAGTTACTATTTTAATAATTTTAAAAATGCTGATTAAGGTAAATTAATTTTAGCTGTCATTTTTTATTTTAAGACTTTTATGATGTATTTAAATGGGTTATTATGGTTGCAAACTCCATTGGAAATTTGAATTGAAATTATGACCATGACTGAGGGAAAGAATTGTTTTGGGAAAAAAAGGGGGGGGGGGTAAAAAAAATGGTGGTGGGGGTGGGGGACAAATTTTTCTCCTCAATATTTCAGAAATCAAAAAGAAAATCCTTCAAATTTTTTTTTTTTGAAAAAAGGGCCAAAATTACAATCCAAATTCAGACCTGTATCAAGCGCGAATATTGTGTCCATTTTTGTCCAAACTGTTCAGGGTTGGACCTCTGCGGTCGTATCCAGCTGCGCTCGGCGAAGCAATTTATTTGTTCTTTTTATGCCCCGTTTGATCAGACAGCTCATCATGTGAATCCTTGGATTTCAATTCTTTGGGGGTATGATGGAAAGTAAATCAGGAAAAGAGCTTCAGACACAACACATTTATAAAGTGTTATTTTCATTTACAATATATATAGAAACCAAGAATTGTACAAGTTGTTAAACTAAGTTTTGTTTATAGATACAAGAAGATGTGGTATGAGTGCCAATGAGACAACTCTCCATCCAAGTCACAATTTGTGAAAGTAAACCATTATAGGTCAAAGTACGGTCCTCAACACGGAGCCTTGGCTCACACCGAACAGCAAGCTATAAAGGGCCCCAAAAATTACTAGTGTAAAACAATTCAAACATGAAAAAACAGGTCTAATCTATATAAAAAAAACGAGAAACACTTATGAACCACATCAACAAACGACAACCACTGAATATCAGGTTCCTGACTTAGGACAGGTGCAAACAAATGCAGCGGGTTTAAACGTTTTAATAGGTACCAACCTTCACCCTTACCTGAAACAATATAGAAAGACACACTATAAAATATCAATTGAAATGTATATTTGTGCATTTTACGGTTAGGCAAAGTTGTCTAAGGTAACCAACTCTGCAAAATATAATGTCTCAAAATAAAAGTAATAACATTTTCAGTAATACATACAGTATTTTACTCTTTTTCAGATATCCCTATTTTTGGAATATTGACGAAGACGGACTTAGTTGACTGGAAAGATGCTAAAATTCTAGAACGTGAGGACGAATTTTTAGAATTCCTTGGAATCGATTCAGCATCTTGTTATGCTCGATGGAAGAATGACGTTGATGGAGAATATACGAGCAGCCATCTTCTTTTTCTCTCTAAATTGTTATCCCCGGATGTACGAATTGTTCTAGATCAAAGAAGTGTGTGTGGTTATCTGTTAGACTCGTTCATTGACCATCCTATTCTCTTCATATCTGTTACAGTTCTTTTTGTTGCTATAAGTTATTGTTACTTCTCCTCGTTATCACTGACTTTCGGAAACTGGAAGTGATCCGAAACACGTGATAACAGTCTTAACCGTGGACTGGCGCGAATGCACTATTACACAAAATGATTGATCATAATTCAGGGACGAGGTCTCTACGCCTTTTTTTTAACACTTTTGACCAACTTAATGTTTGAATACATTTTGTTTTTTAGAATTTGTGATAAAGTACTGTTGTAACCTTTATTATTATATATATGTATGTTTTTATAAAATAAAAGAAACTTAAAAAAATTCATATTGAAGTAGAATAGAGACTGCACCAGTAAGAATAGTATTTATTGTGTTGATTATTGTCTCCCGCGTTGCTGGGGGACATGGAAATACCGGCCATCCGTACGTCTGTCCTTCCCGTCTTGTTAGTGCTCTCACGTGTACAGTTCTTGCCAGATTTTAATAAAACTTATATAATAGGTTTATATCGGCATTGTCTCGGACAAGTTCGTAAATCAGTGGCGATTAACAATTTTTAAAAGAGAAATTCCCCTTTGAAATATTAATTATATAGAAAACTGCATTGTTAGCACTCTCATTTGTACAATTCTTGCCAGATTTTTATGAAACTTATATCAAAGGTTTAAATCAGCAATGACTCGGACAAGTTCGAAATCAGTGCCGATCAATTATTTTTAAAAGTAATGCCCTTGGGAATATTAACTATATGGAAAATTGTATTGTAAGCACTCTCACAAGTACCATTTTTGCCAGACTTTTATCAAAATAGAGTTATGCTCCTTTGAAATATTAATTATATCTGAAATTGCATTGCATTTGCTCTGAAGCCTTCATTTCTCTAAAATATTTTTAAAAAAATTAAAGAAATTTTTAGTTTTTGCTACTAATGGCCAGATAAAATATGTGCAACGCGGGGGACATTGGAACTCTGTCTTTTTTTTTATTTAAGTATTGATTTGTGTAATATGCGCAAGTAATAAATGGAAGCAGGACTTTGGTTATTCTACATGAAACAGAAAACTCAGGAATACGCATCAACGAAAAAATATGCATCTTTTTTTACCTTTTTCTTGTAGCGTTTTGTCATAACATATGCCTAGTTCAAAATTAAAATTTTATTTTTATGCCCCCGCCGTAGCGGAGGGGGCATTAAGTTTTACCCTTTTCCGTCCGTACATATGTACGTCCCAAAATTGGTTTCCGTTCTCTAATTCTTTAGTTTGCCTCAACCAAATGTTATGAAACTTATACACAATGCTTATTACCACAAAACACAGATCAAGTTTGAATTTTGGTGGCGTCACTTTTACCGTTCTAGAGTTATGCCCCTTTACAAATGGGAAAATTGCTGAATTTTTATACGACCGCAAAAAAATTTTGTGGTCGTATATTGGTATGACGTTGGCGTCGTCGTCCGAAGACACATTGGTTTTCGCACTCTAACTTTAGTTTAAGTGAATAGATCTCTATGATATTTGGCCATAAGGTTCAATGCCACAGAAGAAAGGTTGGGATTGATTTTGGGGGTTATGGAACCAACAGTCAAGGAATTAGGGGCCAAAAATAAGCATTTTTGTAACTTCCAGACATAAATTGTGTGTTAGCGTATGGATCTCTCTGACATTGTACCACAAGGTTCCATATCACAAAGGGAATGCTTGGTTTGATTTTGGGGATAATTGCCTCAAAATTTTAGGAATTAGGGGCCAAAAAAGGGGCAAAAAACAAGCATTTTTCTAGTTTCATGACAATAACTTGTGTGTTAGTGTATGGATCTTTCTGAAATTGTACTACAAGGTTCCATATCACAAAGGGAAAGCTGGAATTGAGTTTAGGGGTAATTGCCCAAAACGTTTAAAAATAAGGGGCCAAAAAAGGGCCAAAAATAAGCAATTTTCTAGTTTCCAGAGAATAACTTGTGTTCAAGTGTATGGATCTTTCTGAAATTGTACTACAAGGTACCATACCACAAAGGGAAGGCTGGGATTGATTTTTGGGGGGAAATGCCTTAAAATTTTAGGAATTAGGGGCCAAAAAGGGGCAAAAAACAAGCATTTTTCTAGTTCCAGGACAATAACTTGTGTGTAAGTGTATGGATCTTTATGAAATTGTACTACAAGGTTCCATATTTCAAAGGGAAAGCTGAAATTGAGTTTGGGGGTGATTGCCCAAAACGTTTAGGAATAAGAGGCCAAAAAAGGGCCAAAAATAAGCATTTTTCTCGTTTCCAGACAATAACTTGTGGTCAAGTGTATGGAACTCTCTGAAATTGTACTACAAGGTACCATACCACAAAGGGAAGGCTGGGATTGATGTTGGGGGTAATTGCCTCAAAATTATAGGAATTAAGGGCAAAAAAGGGGCAAAAAACAATCATTTTTCTAGTTTCCGGACATTAACTTGTGTGTAAGTGTATGGATCTTTATGAAATTGTACCACAAGGTTCCATATCACAAAGGGAAAGCTGGGTTTGAGTTTGGGGGTAATTGCCCTAAATGTTTAGGAATTTGAGGCCAAAAAGGGGCCAAAAAACAAGCATTTTTCTAGTTTCCAGACAATTTATTGTGTTCAAGTGTATGGATCTCTCTGAAATTGTACTGCAAGGTAACATACCACAAAGGGAAGGCTGGGATTGAGTTTGGGGGTGATGAATCATAAGGGGGTTCAGAAAATTGGGGGGGGGGGGATTTTTTCCCCCTTTTTTTTCTTTAAAATTTTCCATTTTAAATTGGTTATTTCTGATTTATATATAAAAGCAAATAATAATGATATGGTTTGAATAGGTAAATTAAAAAAATTTAAGTTCTTAGACCACATTCTTTCTGTGTCAGAAACCTATGCTGTGTCAAATATTTAATCACAATCCAAATTCAGTGTTGTATCAAGCTTGAATGTTGTGTCCATACTTGCCCCAACTGTTCAGGGTTCGACCTCTGCGGTCGTATCAAGCTGCGCCGAGCGGAGCATTTTATTCGTCTCTGTTCTCTGACTTTAGTTTGCCTCAACCAAATGTTATGAAACTTATACACAATGCTTATTACCACAAAACACAGATCAATTTTAAATTTTGGTGGCGTCACTTTTACCGTTCTAGAGTTATGCCCTTTACAAATGGAAAAATTGCTGAACTTTTCGTTTCTGTTCTCTTACTTTAGTTTGCCTCAATCAAACATTATGAAACTTATGCACAATGCTAATTACCACAAAACACAGATCAAGTTTGAATTTTGGTGGCGTCACTTTTACCGTTCTAGAGTTATGCCCCTTTACAAATGGGAAAATTGCTGAATTTTTCATTTCCGTTCTCTAACTTAAGTTTGCCTCAACTAAATGTTATGAAACTTATGAACAATGCTTATTACCAAAAAACTCAGATCAAGTTTGAATTTGGGTAGCGTCACTTTTACAGTTCTTGAGTTATGTCCCTTTGTAACATTATATGCAAGCGGGGGCATCATCTGTGTCCCATTGACACATTCCCCATTTATTTATATTTAGGGCATATTAATTTACCCCTGTCAGTCCGTCCGTTCGTCTACATAAAAGGTACATGGTTTGTCTGTTGGACTTCTCTTATGGTTCAAAAGTGCAACATTTATTTTTTAGAACAGTTGTACATATAATGAAGATGCGTATGTGGATAGTATTTTATAAGTCCCCTACCGACGAAGTCGAAGGGGACTTTAGGTTTGCACTCCGTCTGTCTGTCTGTCTGTCTGTCTGTCTGTCTGTCTGTTCATCAGTCTGTTCATCAGTCCGGCAAATCAGTTTTCCACACTTTTTTTCTTCGTGCTTAAAGATATTGATTTGATATTTGATGTATTGTTTAATCAGGACAAGTTACAGATCAAGTTCGAATTTTGTTCCGGTTTGACGATTTTGTGCAGAGTTATGGTCCTTGAACTTAGAAAATTCACTCAAATAATCAGTTTTCCGCACTTGTTTTTTTGTCATGCTTGGAGATATTGATTTGATGTTTGGTATATAGCTTTATCCTGACAAGTTACAAATCAAGTTCGAATTTTGTTCCGGTCTAATGATTTTGTGCAGAGTTATGGTCCTTGGACTTAGAAAATTCACTTAAATAATCAGTTTTCCTCACTTTTTTTCGTCATGCTTGAAGATATTGATTTGATGTTTGGTATAGTTTTATCATTTATCATGACAAGTTACAGATCAAGTTCGAATTTTGTTCCAGTCTGACGATTTCGTGCAGAGTTATGGTCCTTGGACTTAGAAAAATTCACTCAAATAATCAATTTTTCACAATTTTTTTTTGTCATGCTTGAAGATATTGACTTGATATTTGTTATATAGTTTACACCATGACAAGTTATAGATCAAGTTAGCATTTTGTTCCAGTACAATGAATTTTTAACCGGTAGGGGACTATGTATTGCCAGGCAATACTCACAGAATGTTGTACTTATGTTTAAACTTGGTAATTTTGATTTGGGTATGTGCTGCAATAATCTTTATAAATAAATAAATATAAAGGCAAGTTCCTGTATTTTTTTCTCTATTTTTCTGGTAGAACAATCACCACAAAAATGCCACACTATTAGACAATTGGTTATTAAAGTTTAACATTATAAATCATTAGTGAATAGTAAGTCTACCTAATTTCGTTAAATGTTTATCGATGCATTACAGTATATGCAACTGTCTAGATGCCTTTTTGCAAATATTAGAAATACAAACATCAAATTTCTGCTGGTAATTAATAGTTACACCAGGTGGTTCAACTTCTTTTTTCCATGTATGATATTGCCATCTAAATTAAAAGATATATTTCTATTTTCAGTTTCCTTACCAATTGCCTAAAACTTGTCGGGGCTGGCCTTCATATATGATTTAAACTAAGCCAATTAATAAGCTCTAAGCTTTCTTTTTCTAACGTATTTTCAACAGTTTCTATATTATAATGTGAATATGATATAGTATTGTCATCTGCATAATTATATAATGAGCTACTTGATACAAAATGAACGTCTTGTTCATATGCCAGAAGTCAGTAACTTAGCTTTGTTTCCTCGGTCCATATGAATCATACAGAAATTACTAAATTGGGTTTTAAATTGGGATGTTATACAAATCGATAAACTAGCGTTATTCCAGAGCCTTATAGTTGATGGTGTATAATATTTGTTGTTAGATATTTTCAAAAGAAAGGAACTAGATTATGATATCAACACCGTTTATCAAACAATACACTATTGTGCTCTGTAAACACCAGATGGGATAAGACTTCATATCGACAGATACTATAATATTATAGGTCTCGGATATAGATAGTGTGCCTGTCCCAAGCCAGGGGTCTGTAAACCAGTGGTTGTCATTGGTTGCTGTCTGGGTTGTTCGGGGTAGAGATTGCATGACATGCAATCAAAATTCGTATGCTACTGGCTTGATCTCTAAATCGTCCAGGTTTTTTTTCATTACTTTTGACAGTTAAAACAATTTGGGGCAGTGAGGTGAACGGTCTATAGAACGTATCCAGGCAATGTCATGCATTTATTATTTGTTAATTTATGATATATTATACTCAGGCATTCAAGTTACAAAATTATGCGCATTTGTATGACCATACTTGTCAAGAATTTTTGTTTTAATTACATAAGTTGTGCATGACGTATGAATCTTTTATATTTGTACAATTACGAACAAGGGAAGATAACTCCCATTCAAAATATGAAACTTGCATTAATGTGTTTCATTGATAAATACAATTCAACGTCAAATTTTAATTTCACATTCAAAAATAAAGCAAACTGTACGCTTTAGTGCTCACATGCGCTTTGATTCTTTTATTGATTTTAGTAATAGACATTGCTTTTCTCGTTTGGATTGTCTAACTTTTGGGATTTTGTGGACCCTTTATAGCTTATCATACGGTTAGGGTTTGCTCTATGTTGAACCCCGTACAGTGACACGTAGTTCATATCCTTGTCCTTTTATCTTTTATGACTATAAGCTTATTTACAAATCTGGCAAAATTGACCTAAGATGGATTTGGCTATTATTTTTATGCCCCTTTTGGTCATATAGCATTTCAACGGTTTCGGTTCTTACACATCCTTTGCTTTCAAATATTCGGCTTTGAACGTTCCTGGTGAAAGATAAATTCAGACAAGCCCTTCGGAAGCATGAAATTTATAAAGTGTTGATTTAATTTATGCAAAGATACCACATTTCCTTTCTTTTGTGTATTTGATTTTTTCTCTATAAAAATAAGGAGACGTGGTATGCTTGCCGTTAAGACAACTTTCCACCCGAGTTCAAATGACGAAGATATCAACTATAAAAGGCTCCGACATGGAAAATAAGAAACAATTCAAACGAGAAAACTAAAGACCTAATCTATAACAAAACAATTTACGAAAAACAAAACTAAACGATGTTTTAAACCATACATGAAAATACATTTTCACGTGCTCCATGATTTTGTGTTGATTTTTTATTTAGGTCACGTTCGGCAATCTTCGGCAATAAAATACAAAAGTTAATTAGCAGGCAAATTTTTCACTGAATAAATTTTTTTTTGTCGATTTTATGTTATGTGTTTCGTATTAAATGTGAAAAAAATCGTGCATAGAGGACTTAGTTTAGTATATATACATGCATTGGTTCAATAATTTCCTTAACATTATAATTTCAAGAAACTCGTTTAATATGACTTTTAATTAAAATATATGGCAAAAGACAAATTTCAACTTTGTCCTCACTCATTGACATTTTCCCATTTATTTCGGACGGTGAAGTTCCTCTTTTCGCATCCCATGGCAAATACAACTTGTACGGTTTTGCTAGAATATGTTACCATGAAGCTGACTTTAATGAACTTATATTTGCATTAACCAAATTGAGATATCATAGACTTTTGAATACCTTAAAAAAATCACAGTAATATTCAGCATCTAATTTGTAAATATAAGAGGATCGTGATGTGGTTTACAGAATAGGGAACAATGGGGTAAAAAAGTAGAGAATAAAGGACAAAAAAAATAATGAATAGTGAAAAAGAGGCAAAAAAATAAAGAATAGGGAATAATGGGATGCTTTAATATAAAGAAAAAAAGAGGCGAAAGATACCAAAGGGACATTCAAACTCATAAGTCGAAAATAAACTGACAACACCATGACTAGAGCATAGAGAATAATTGGACAAAAAATAAAGAATAGATTGATTGTTGTTTAAAGCCACTTTCAACACTATTGTGCTATTTCGTGGCGGTCAGTTTTTTATTGGTGGAGGAAGCCGGAGTGCCCGGAGAAAACCATCGACCTTCAGCAGGAAAACTGACAATCCTGGTCAATTAAGATTGGAGTCGAGTGCACCTGCCCCGTGCGGGATATCAGTGTTGACAGGCTAGTGATACAGTAGTTCGACTACTTTTTTCCCGACTACTTAGACCACTCGTCCACCGAGGCCCCGTAAAAGAATAGAGAAAATGGCCTAAAAAATTAAGATATACAAAAATGAAGACACCCCCACGCCCCACCTCCATATAATGGCTCTCGCAAAAAAATAATAATGCAATAAACATATGAAATAATGACATTTTTTATTCTGACTTCATCCCGGTGAGCAAAAATATCAAGCGAGTTCGCTAGGGCGAGCTGACATTAATTTTGAAATACCCGAAAAGTAAATACACATTTTTACAATGTGTGGAAAATTCATTCATTGTAGTAACTAAGGAACCATTTAGAATTGGAAGATTTCGTTTCAGCCTGACTGCATTGTAGGCTAACTAGCCTTTATCGCACGACCATTTACTTTTATATTTTTGTTTTAAAACGCTGACATTTCTAATAACAGAATTAGTTAACGACAGTATTTATAAATTGTTTATGGTATAAATATAGTTTTGAATACCCCACTGCGTCGGGTACTAATATAACTTATTGGAATTATGCGATTGTTTGGGAATCTGTGACTCTTGACCCGATAATCACTTTTCCTTTGAAATGCATTGCAAATCAATTGCGCTCTCAAGTTGTAACCATAATGTAAAACAACCTTCTGCTCTTTTCATATTTTTTTTAGTTTAATTTCGTCATTATTTTGATTATATTAAATTAATTTGGTATATCTTTGGCTTTAGATAACGTGGCATTTATGTGTTTACAAATCAATATGATTTTCTTATTTTAGTTACGGGTTCGGGATTGCAAAGTTTGTTTTTAGATATTATTTAGTGAGATTGTAAATATGTTTCTTTCCCCTGGTCCATTGACTATCCACCAAAATTTCAAAGGGATTGACCCATATCTGATCGGATCTGCATATCCAGCCATAATGTTATATTGTAAAAGTAAAACCTTCTGGCTTATTATTTTTATCTCAATTCAAGGTTAATTTAATTTTAATAATGTGTCGTTAACTGAAGTCTGAAGCCTTAAAAGTCCACATTTGTTTTGAAAATTGTTTTTAAATGTAAATTTATTACACTTATTCTCGTATTATAGGTTTTCGTGCTATTAAAAATGCATTGTGACGTCACAATTTCCATTGATAAAGCATGCACAGTACGAATTCATGTGATCTGACGATATCACTCACTTTTTGTTTATTTCCTTGATATGTCTCTTCCTAAATTATTTGATTCATATAATGATCTTAATTAACAGATATCAAGTTCATTCCGTTTAAAGGTTTATTGATACTTCAATTAGATTCTTGCCAAATAGAATTTCATGAGCTTAAATGGGAGCGTCTTTTTACCACGGAATACACCTTATCCCTATTTGTCCGCCATTACTGGACATCCCAACAGTTCCCGTAAAATTTTGACGTCACAATAGAAAATGTGTGACGCCACAAAGGAAAAGTGATTGTTGTATGACGTCAGTACTTCCAAGTGTCAAAGATTTCCAAATAACGATACTAACATGACTAAGGTCTATACCACAGAACAGCCAAAATATACATGTACCACAAAACTTCGAAATATTAAGACTTCAGACATTATTATTAATGTTATTATTAATTGTTTTTAACCGGATTTTCGAAGGAAATATTGGTTATTAAAATGGTTACATGTATATACGGCGGGTGGCTGGGCGGCTCTGGCGGCTGCCAAACAGCGTCCGCACAATAACATGAAAACGCTTTAACAAATTTTTTTCAAATTTAAATATGTTGTTTCATGGGACTTAATGAAGGTCTCTATTAATTTTAGTATATCTTCTTTGTGAGTTATCTTCATTTTTAAAATCCAAAAGTAGAATTTTAAATATTTTACTGTTGTTATCTTTTTATGATTTGTCTTATCTCCATGATCTCAGAATAAAAATTGGAGTGACAGATTTATTTGAAAATTATCTATTTCCTAAGTGGTAATGATTATAAGCTATATCATTAGACATTTTGAAGATTATTACATTATTAATGATTTTAGAGTACTATGTTAAACAACTATAGTTCTGTTCAATTAGATATTATAAATATTTCAGCATATGATAATGATTTATTTTCATTATTAATTAGATCTTTGAAATATTTTAGCATATGATAATCATTGGAGTGACAGATTTATTTGAAATGGGACAATATATCAAATCAAATGAAATATAGGGGAAGTCCATGGGGGTAAACCCTACCCCCTTCTTTTTGAAAACTTGTAAACGGTTGAGATCCCCACCCCTAAACCATATATGTACTTGTATGGGACAATAAATTAAAGCAAATTAAATTTAGGGGAAGTCCCCTGGGGTAACCCCTACTCTCCTTTTTTTTTGAAAACTTGTAAATGGTCAAGATCCCCACGGCCAAACCATATATATTCTTGTATGTTACATTAAAACAAATGAAATGAAATAAAAGGTGAGTTCCTTGGGGTTATTCCCACCTTCTTCCTGTTTAAGAACTTGTAAATGGTTGAGATCCCCGCCCCTAAACCATATATATCCTTGTATGGGACAAAAAAACAAATCATATGAAATAAAGGGCAGGTCCCCTGGGAAAATTAATCAGTTTGTGTGTGTTATATTTGAACATAAATTAAATATATATAGGGTTCTTTAAGTGCTGAATCTAAACTTATTTTTAATTAGATAATAATCTATTTTTATTATGAGATAAAGGTTTTGACATTGATAGATAAGTTGCAGATCTGTATTATTTTTTGACACATGAAAGAAACAATATTAGCAACTATTAATTAAATTTGATTATAATATGGAAATAGATATAACATGATATCTGATTTTAGAGAAGTATTTTGCTGGTTTTTTATTGGTTTATGTAAATAAGTTTGAGTTATTTGTTTTGAAAAGTGATGTGTTTAATTGATAGAAAAAAGTCATATCTAATTTTAGAGATTTATGAGTGGTTAAGTCATATCTAATTTTAGAGAATTATTTTGGTGTTTTGTTACTGGTTCATGGAAATAAATTTGAGTTTTATCTTGTAAACAGTCGAGATCCCCACCCCTAAACCATATATATTCTTGTATGGGACAATAAAACAAATCAAACGAAATATTGGGGGAGTCCCCGGGACCACCCCACCCCCTTCTTTTTGAAAACTTGTAAACAGTCAAGATCCCCACCCTGAAACCATATATATTCTTGTATGGGACAATAAAACAAATCAAATGAAATATAAGGCGAGTCCCCTGGGGTCACCCCCACCCCATCCTGTTTGAGAACTTGTAAACAGTCGAGATCCCCACCCTTAAACCATATATATTCTTGTATGGGACAATAACACTAATCAAATGAAATATAGGGGAAGTCCAGGGGGTCACCCCCTTCTTTTTGATAACTTGTAAAGGGTCGAGATCCCCACCCCTGAACCATATATATTCTTGTATGGGTCAATAAAACAAATCAAATGAAATATTGGGGAAGTCCATGGGGGGTAACATCCACCCCCTTCTTTTTGATAACTTGTAAACAGTCGAGATCCCCACCCCTGAACTATATATATTCTTGAATGGGTCATTAAAACAAATCAAATGAAATTGAGGGGAAGTCCCCTGGGGTAACCCCCACCCACCTTCTTTTTGAAAACTTGTAAACAGTCAAGATCCCCTCCCCGAAACCATATATATTCTTGTATGGGACAATAAAACAAATCAAATGAAATAAAAGGCGAGTCCCCTGGGGTCACCCCACCCCCTCCTGTTTGAGAACTTGTAAACGGTCGAGATCCCCACCCCTAATCCATATTTTCTTGTATGGGACAATAAAACAAATCAAATGAAATATAGGGAAAGTCCATGGGGGTAACCCCCACCCCCCCTTCTTTTTGATAACTTGTAAGCGGTCGAGATCTGCACCCCTTAACCATATATATTCTTGAATGGGACAATAAAACAAATCAAATGAAATTGAGGGAAAGTCCCCTGGGGTAACCCCCACCCCCCTTCTTTTTGAAAACTTGTAAATGGTCAAGATCCCCACCCCGAAACCATATATATTCTGGTATGGGACAATAAAACAAATCAAATGAAATATAAGGTGAGTCCCCTTGGGTCACACCACCCCCCTCCTGTTTAAGAACTTGTAAACGGTTGAGCTTTTCATTATTAATAAGATAATACCACATATAGGTCCAAAGGGTCCTAAATTAAACTTTTGTTTAATTTCATCAAATATTGAATTCTTTGGTTCTTTGATATGCTGATTCTAACAATGTTTGAGTGTTAAATCATATCTAATTTTAGAGAACTTAGTCATCACTGGTTGTTTATTATTGATTATAATTTGAAAAATTGCATCATATCTTATTTTAGAGAACTATTTATCCAGTTTGAGTTATTTCCATTTGCACAGAAAATATTATGGATAAAATTAACCTGTGTTTCATTTCAACATAAATTAAATATATATATAGGGTTCTTTCAAATGCTGAATCTAAACTCTATTTAAATATTAGATTTTTAGGCCCAGTTTTCAAGTTGGTCCAAATCAGGGTCCAAAATTAAACTTTGTTTGATTCAACAAAAATTGAATTTATGGGGTTCTTTGAAATGCTGATTCTAACCATGTATTGAGAGATTTTGGATTGTGGGCTCCTTTATCGAATTGGTCCACATTGAGGTCCAAAGGGTCCTAGATTAAAATTTTGTCTGATTTCATCAAAAATTGAATTCTTGGGGTTCTTTGATATGCTGATTCTAATATGTACTTAGATTTTGCATATTGGACCATAATAGGTATTTAAATGTCCAATTTCAAATATATCAGTTCTTTGACTACATTCATTTTGTGTCACAAACCTATGATGTGTCAAATATTCAATCACAATCCAAATTCAGAGCTGTTTTAAGTTTAAATGTAGTGTCCATACTTGCTCAACTGTTCAGGGTTCGACCTCTGCAGGAAAATCCGGTTTGCTGTCTCTCTGACAGCCTCTTGTTATTTTATAATTTGACATTTATTATAAATTTTAAAAAAATGAATTTTTCGAGTTAGGGGTGACACACTTTTGTAACGCCCAAAACTTAATGATCATGTACTTGGGTCCATACCATAAACACCTATTATCAAAATATTTTGATTTTATCTTTTCTTCTTATTATACGACCGCAAAAATTAAAAATTTTTTGGTCGTATATTGGTATGACGTTGGCGTCGTCGTCGTCGTCTGGCGTCGTCCCAAGACACATTGGTTTTCGCACTCTAACTTTAGTTAAATTGAATGGATCTCAATGAAATTTTACCATAAGGTTCAATACCACGAAAGGAAGGTTGGGATTGATTTTGGGGGTTATGGTACCAACAGTTAAGGAATAAGGGGCCAAAAAGGGGCCAAAAATAAACATTTTTGCAACTTCCAGACAATAACTTGTGTGTAAGTGTATGGATCTCTCTGACATTGTACCACAAGGTTCCATATCACAAAGGGAAGGCTGTAATTGATTTTGGGGGTAATTGCCTCAAAATTTTAGGAATTAGGGGCCAAAAAAGGGGCAAAAAACAAGCATTTTTCTAGTTTCATGACAATAACTTGTGTGTAAGTGTTTGGATATTTCTGAAATTGTACTACAAGGTTCCATATCACAAAGGGAAAGCTGGAATTGAGTTTGGGGGTAATTGCCGAAACGTTTAGGAATTGGGGGCCAAAAAGGGGCCAAAAATAAGCATTTTTCTAGTTTCCAGACAATAACTTGTGTTCAAGTGTATGGATCTCTCTGAAATTGTACTGCAAGGTACCATACCACAAAGGGAAGGCTGGGATTGAGTTTGGGGGTGATGAATCATAAGGGGGTTCAAAAAATTTGGGGGGGGGGGGGGTTTTCTTTTCTTTTTTTCCTTTTTTTTTTCTTTTAAAATTTTCCATTTTAAGTTGGTTATTTCTGATTTATATTTAAAAGCAAATAATAATGATATGGTAGGAGATACA